TATCCTGTGTCTATTCCCTGCCCTGCTGAGTCACTAGCATTTTGAGGTACAGAAGTAATGTGTTCCTGGCTCATTTGCCATGTTAGAATTTGGAACGTATTTTTGTTAAGAATCATTAAAAGCAATATTATATTTTAAAAAAATCATTTATAGGAATTGATAGAGAGTAATTTAATATAACCCCATATACCTACCAGCCAGCTTGTATATTATATATTGTATATTTGGCAGATGCTTTAAGAATTTCAATATTAAATTTATTAAAGCCACAAATCAAAAATGAAATTTTTCAGTTATACTTTCAAGTTCTGTGAACAGAGCTCACTCTTATCTTCAGATACTTTTTACAATTAAAACCTGTTACAGATCCAGTGTGTCTCTCTCGGGACCCGATCCTCATTTTCCCTGTGCAGCGAGTGCTACAATCCTACCTGCACTGGTTATTGTTCCCACAGAGAAATAGTGTTCCTTGTTTCAAAATTATTCCGTATTCTTTATTTCTTTTGTGATGTTCGGTTAGGAACATAATTGCCATGTTTTATTTTGTTGCTTTGTTAGTGGGGGTGTGTTTCTAAGGATTTATAAAGTTCTTATAATAATGTGAATAGTGACAATATATATCAACTGCTTGCCAGGTCTCACGGGCAAGTTGGTCACTATCTTATCCTATCTGCCACCATGTCTTATCCTTATTTTAGAGATGGAAAGAGTGAAGCTCAAAAGTTTATTAAGCTAGTAAGAACTAGATTCCAGACACATGTTTATTTGATTCCAAGCCTGTAGTTCCCATCTTCCCAGACTATTTTCTCTATGTAAAATATATCCTATTTAATTATATTGAATCATCTTATCTTAATTTATAAACTGATTTTTCACCTTATAACTTGTGATGAATATTTTCCTCTGGTAGAATTGGGGCTTTGGAGTCAGAATCCTGGCTTTATCCACTTTAACAACTGTGTGCTTGCTTAGTTATATAACTGCCCTGGACTTTGAAGTATAAATAATTATTCCTACCCTATAAAGTTGTTAAGATGCTGCAGTGCCTGGCATATATAAGGCCTCAAAATATTTTCGGTACTATGCCAAACGTACACATGAAATGCAAGAAGGTTTTTTATTCAGTTGCATGAGGAGACTTCAAAACATTGAAAGAAAAGATAATGGGATCTTTCTATGAACTTTTTGATGTCCCCTCATGTCACTTCTATTGGTATTCAATCAAATATTGTTCAAATAGTATAGCCTAACTGCATTTTGGAGTCTTGGTATTGCACTGCAGGATAATGCACTATACCAAAAGTTTGAACTGCAAGGTCAATGGTTCAAACCCACCAGCTGCTCCTTGGAAACCCTATACAAGGTTGCTATGAGTTGAACTGACTCAACATCAGCAACTGCATTTAATTAAACAAATATTATTGAATGTTTACTAAGTGCCAGCACTGGCCAGTTATTGGGGGTGTAGAAATGATTAAACCTATTTATTTATTTATTTTTCATTTCATGGGATTATAAAGAGGTTAAAAAAAAATTTTTCCCCCCTAAGAATAAAAAAGGAGATATTTTTCAGTGAGTGGGTATGTTTGACATTTAAGTTCTTCTGTTAGAGTCCTGGTGTGGTGCTGTGGGTTAATACATTGGACTGTAAGGTTACTTTGAACTGCAAGGCCACGGTTCAAACTTATCAGCCACTCCTTGGAAATGTTATAGAGGGTTGCTGTGAGTTGGATCCAGCTCGCTAGCACTTAACAGCAACAAACACATTATTGCATTAAATTTTCCAAGTGTTTTCGCATTGACTCGGTTTTCTTTAGAAACCATCAGAAGCAGCATAACTAGAGTTGATTCTTTCCAACATTTAAATCCAGATATCATTTAGCTTTTAAATCTGCCAACATGCCTCTTTCTAAGAGGTAAACAAAGAAAAGTGTGCTGGTCGTGGTTGTGTGCCGCCGAGTCATTTCTGACTCTTAGCAACCTTATATATGGTTTCCAAGGCTGTAAATCTTTGTAGGAGCAGAATGCTTTTCTTTACTGAGGAGTGACTCTTGGGTTCTGTCTGCTGATCTTGCGGTTAGCAGCCCACTGCAGAAGGGACACAAGATGATCAAGACAAAATCTCTGCATTCAGATTTAAGGAAGTTGGTGCATGTTTTAACAAGAAATGTCCTTCACAGTGAGAGTGATTTATTCATGTAATAATGAAGCTAGCATTCCTAAATGTAGTCTGCATTTTTCTCATCCTTCCTCATGTCATGAATGTCTTGCCTTTAGGAGTCTTGGTGGTGCAGCAGTGAAGTACTCATTAGCTAATTGAGAGGTTGGAGGTTCCAACCTACCAGGTGCTCTTTGCAGAAACGATTTGTTGATGTGCCTCTGTAAAGATTTACAGCCTTAGAAATGATACAGGCCACTCTAAAGTGTCCTGTAAGGTTGTTA